CAAATCTCTGGAACATTTTTCAAAACTTTCGAATACCTCTGAATTTTAACACAGACCAGGAGTGATTAATGCTATTATAAGTTGATAGACTCATTGACTCATTAGGTTGATAGACTCAATGAGTCTATCATGTTATGGGACATAAGCCTGTAAACAGGTATAAGTATAAAAATTCAAACATCTTCAACAATGTGAACTCACATGTTCTTGCACGAAGGTCTTCAATTATAATTTATTAAATTCGATATAAATATAATGTATCATTTATATATATTATTCATGCGAAATTGCTCTACATTATATATACAAACCAATACTGTAAATGCAGATAATTTCCAACATAGATATAGAAACAAGACCAACGACGCAGCAGCTAGACAAAGAATGGCAACTTTTAACACCAGTTCAGTCTTAATAAATAGTCCCGNGTGTTTGTATGCGGTAGTAGCCCCAAGTCTCCATTCGTGCACCAGGGGGGTTGTGTCTCGATAGCTATAAGGGTGCAGGAGATATGAGGCTAAAAGTGGTTGAAAGTGGCTTTCTATTTCAAATGTTTTGTTCGAATTTGTTCGAATTTGTTCGAACAAATTCGAGCAATATTCGAATTAAATTCGAACATAAAATTCGAATGTTGGTTCGATTACATGACGATCGTAAACGTTCCAGAAACGTTGAAAATAGTTCGTTTGACTGGACGTGAACAGAAGACGTTTAGAAATAGAATCGGGACCAGGAAGTGTTAATATAAAGCGGCATGCAAGATTTACAGGCGGTTTTTGCCCATTTGCGGGAAATCGAACATATTTTTATGCGCATGTAGAAATTCTCTGGAAACGGCTGGAAACAGGAGACCTAATTCTTGCATTTTGTGAAAACGGATAAGATTGGCTATAATGTAATTATCTTAATTTTCACTATCGTTACTTTTTGCCCACAAATAAAAACCTAGCGTAGCGGGTCCTTGCAGCTAGATTCTAAATTACTTAGAAAAACAAAAACTATATTACATACAAATGTACGAACAAATAAAAACCCAGCGAAGCAAGTCCTTGCAGCTAGTAAATATATAAATTTATATATACAAACCAATACTGTAAATGCAGATAATTTCCAACATAGATATAGAAACAAGACCAACGACGCAGCAGCTAGACAAAGAATGGCAACTTTTAACACCAGTTCAGTCTTAATAAATAGTCCCGTGTATAGCAGAAAACAAATTGCATAAAACATGTGTGAATATACAAAAGGCAGAAGATTATTCCAGTTATTATTAATGTTTTCGAATAATTCCCAAAGTTCGATATTTTTTTCTAGAGTTACTTCAACGTCATCTTTTAGCGAATGGCTGTGCAATTTCAATTGGGACAATTCCTCAGACATCTTGTCAAACCTTTTACCTACAACAACAAATGCAGATGTCCATATTAATATTATATAACTTAGGTGACCGAAACCATAAGCACTTAACAACGTATGAAACACACAAGAAATTAATGCCTCCGTGTCTGTTCCATGTTGTTTCTTTATTTCCATATAATAAACAAAGTTCAAAACACTAGGGAATACAATTAATATCACTGAAAACGCAATGGTGCATATTTTTGTGTATATGTGTAACTGATTACAAAACTTTAATTCTTCATAGTAAGTGCTTTTCACACAGTGAATAGAAATTTTGTTTTTCTTCAATATAGTATACTGTCCGGCAATGTATTCCGTAAAATACCAGTAGATTATTGCAGCTTCTAATACATAGTCGTTATATATGTTGAGAAAACGTAAAGCATAAATATTGAAATCATATATTCTGAATAAATGGAGAACAGCGGCAATCCAGAGAAAGACTTCAATCAAACTCATATAAATTATGTACAGAAATGAGGAAACTGTTTTGCCCTTTTCTTTACCAATGCATTCACACGGAATGCATACGTCTAAACCAAATACTTTAGCGCAATTTAATACTGGATATAATACGTACGCCAGACAAGAACATTCATACGTTCTTGGAGGCATTCTTAATGAATCTTACGTTTATATAAATAATATTATCACAGATTAAGTTTTATCTTCGATCAAGTTTTGATTTTAACGTAAAAATTGCCTTCTTCATCAAGCAAAGTATCTGAATAAAGTTCTAATGAAATGCATGCACGTGCGATACTGCAGCTAGTATTGAATGTGTGGAATGTTCGTCCAACTTAAACGTTTTAAAAAACTAATTCACGATAAAATGCAAAGCTAATTTACTTGAAATTGCTTCGTCTAATTAATTAGCTTACTGTCATAAATTTTGTAGGTTAACATTAATAATAATCAATAAAATTTTATTATATCTTGAGTTACACGTGTAAAGTACATTTAATAGCTATTGTTTGTTGATATGAAGTATTGGGAACATTATAATTTACATAACTGACACCGGTTATATTCACGTGTTCAAACCTATCTAGGGGCCAGTTTTCTGTGCAAAATCATCCGGGGATGATGACACATGGCCGATGGATTACGTCACTATATTTATTTGTCACTATAGCTCTTTATTATGGGGAGACTTCCCCAAAACAAATAACTCATACATTACCGACACTTACATAAATGCATTAACCAAGAATGTGAATTGCATGCATTTATGTTATTTCTGGTGATGCATTAAGCGATCGATATTATTTATAAGAGATCAATAACGACAGAAATTGAGCAATATTAAAGTAGTTCAATTAATTTGTAGTATGACTTATATAGAGTGGAACGTCGCTTAACGAGAATAATTTGTTCCAGAACCTTACTCGTTATGCGAAACACTCGTTACGCAAAACAATTTTTCCCATAGAAATTAATGTATAATATGATAATGCGTTCCATACCGACAAAAATACTAAAATCAAATACCGTATTTATTTGCGTATAAGACAAGGTTTTTATTTATTTTTCACTGCTTCAAAAACCTACATCGTCTATACGCTCGAGCGAAGGATCCTTTGCGTTTTTGAAATAACTTTTGTAAACCTTGTATAGTTCATGCTGCCATTATAGCACTGTTCTTCTCATAACACGTTTTGTAAGGGCCTTACTCCAAGTGTATTCAGCCATTAGTACGGCACTGTAAACTGTCATGTATTCATGATTATTTTGTATATACCCGTATGTCGTATTGCTATCTAGCAACATAGCAGCAGTGATTATGTATGTCGTTTGTGTTAAATTAATGGCCACACCTCGTCCTATACAAAATGATTCAAAAGTCTTTAAACATTTAAAATATCGATATATTCAGTAAATTTTTTTACGAGAGGAAACGAGATTAGCATAGAAACTATATAGAATTACATAGGGTTTACTTCCATAAAAGTGTCGAAATTACTTCTAATTAACTCTATCAAGTTAAGTTTTACCACAAATGACAGGACGACATGTAGGTGTCTGCTTTTGAAACTGTCACTATAAAAGATTAGCATTACTCTGACCTGGAGGAATGGCAAGCGTTAAATGTTGTGACATTCATACAGCATGGAGCACACATAATCTTAGCTTGCTTATTCTATGGAACAACTGTTACTATCATTACTGGATAGAATGAGTGGTAAGCTATTACTTTCAGACTGAACCGCCGGCCACCTAGGTCTCCAGACCTAATGCCCTACGATTTTCAGTTACCTGTCAACCTGACGTAATGGGTTTACAGAGATCGCTCAGAATCATTGGCAATGCTAAAAGACATCAATGATACTTTGAAAAATACTGTTTTATGCTTCCCATAAGTATGTTACTCATGTTTGTGCTCGATAACAATATACACTACATTGGCATTTGCTATGCTGCAGTTTTTACAGTGTTATGGATCAAAACGTGATTTTATTCATTTCCGTGCTAATCGCGTAACCATAATCGAAAAATTCACTGTAATAATGATTTTCCAAATCTAACTTTCGAATTATTCTATTTTGATTTGAACCAATCCGTGGCCAACTGGATAAAATTTTTTAACACTAATAATTTCAACACGCAATATGCTCGATCCATGGCCGCCGCTTTCGCCTGCCTCAGATCAAGCCGTTAATTCCTCAGGTCGTCCTCAACCTGTTTGGTCCACGTTTCTTAGGTGCGAAGTGTTGGATTTTCCACAGAGTAGGTCGCTGTCGAAAGAGCAGTTGGTGGGGTATTCGGTTAATAATTAGATGTTAGACACATAAAGAACTACACGTAACTACCTTGTTAGTAAAGCGTTAATTCGCAACCAACTATCCATAGTTTTATTTACTCGGTATTGGAGGAGTATAATGAATTCGTGATAATTTAGGGCCCTAAGTATAAGTTTTTGGTGGAAAAGGTATCTTGTTTGCTATTTTTCTCATTTTGATGTATTTTAATAAAATTGTTAAAATTCATTCAAATTGCTAAAAGTAATAATTAATTTCATGAATTTCCTAAATGTTCTATACATAAAATATAAAAACAATATGCTTGTTTGTCTTTCAACAAAACATTTATTCCATAATCATATATACTACAATTTCCATAAATGGCACAATATTTAGACACGTTGCTTGACGTTACATAATTTAAAATATTTTTTGTTTCTGCAAAAGGTACATTTATGTTTAAATTACTTTAAATAATAATACATTTACTTATCGAATTTCACAAAAATTATAAAAGTCTGACGTTCCGGTATTTTCGATAATCCGGCATCACTCTGTTCACGTAAGTACAAAGTTAACGAATTCTATTCTGTTTAAAATACACGTGATAGAAATTACTATCATTGCTTGTTCTAAATTTAAAAAGGAAATTTGATAAAAGTGAAAAAAACAAACAAAAGAAATTAAAATAGACTTTTCATTGAAATGTAATAACATTTTACATCCTCCAAAAGCTATTTTTATGTAAAACAGCACTTGATAAGATATTAAATTTCTCTACAAAAGTAAAATATCAATTGAATATTTTGGCTGTAAAAATAGTAATACGAAGTAAATTTGCTGATATAACGCCATAAAAAGTATGTAGTTATAATGTAGATTACTTTAAATAACGATGCACTTACTGTTTCAACTGCTGAAATGTAAAATCACGTTCGTGTGAATTGAGAGAGAAATTCAGTGAGAAGGGAATTTCATTTGTTTGTAAGTATCTTCAGGTTTTTCGTTATTAGATTAATTGATAGAAAATTTAATTTACGTATACAGTAGAACCTGTGCAAAATTCGGCACAATGCGATTTCGGTGCCGAATTATTTTCCAAAAAACTATTCACGCAGGTTTCCATTCTTAAAAAAAGTTGTTGAAATACTAAAACTTTACAGAATATAAATTGAAAATGTTAATATTTCCTTAATTTTTGTTCAAAGATTCTTTAATTTCATTAAAATACTGTAACTGTTATATTCTTCAGAGTTAACTTTGTTACAACTCAAAGTCTGATTATCATTAGTTCTTAATCGAGTGCTCTGTTTGAGGACAGTCTCCGACGACAGAAATGTTCATTGGACTAGTAGATTCAACTTAATTTAAATGATAAAATAACTTTCATTACCTAATATAATATAAATAATTATTTTCTATTTTGGTTTTATTTAATAGATACCTTCTTTTTAAGACCTTTACTATGCAATAATGAGTTTTTAAATATAAAACTGCTTATTAAATGCAGAGTATATCGATATCAATTCTAAACTTATGTCAGAATTTTTAGAAATATTGCTTTATTGTATACAAAATATATAAAATATACTTTATTTTCTTCCTAGGTATTTCCATTCTGTGAAGTTTATTAAAGATTACAATGAAGCATATATGTGCAACTTGTCATAAGAGCTATTCTCATAAATACTATTTCAACGTACATCTTAGAACTCATACAGGAGAAAAGCCATACGAGTGTTCAACCTGCCAAAAGAGCTTTCATTGTAAAAAACACTTGGACGAACATGTTATCATTCATACTGGAGAAAAGTCACACATATGCGAAAATTGTGATAAGAGTTTTTCTTCTAAACGTGGCTTAAATTTGCATCTTAGAGTTCACACGGGAGAAAAACCATACCAGTGTGATATATGTGACGTAAGATTCAGGTATAGCAGCAATTTACGAAGACACGAGACGACACATTCAACTATAAAACCTTTTGCCTGTTCTATGTGCAATTATCGCTGCAAGTCAAAGTATGCTTTGAAGAAACATTCTGCTTCCCATAGTAAAAAGCAGTTGTTTTCATCTGATAAATGTAACAATCAGTTTTATTCTGAACCAGAATTCAATGCTCATAAAAAAACACATACTGATCAGATCTCATTTATTTGTGGTATGTGTCAACAAGTATTTTCTGAGAACAATTCTTTAGACAAACAGAAGAGAATTCAGCTGCCAGTGGAAAATGCGCCTTATCAATGCAATCAATGCGGATTAACATATTCTGAGAGAGTTGATCTGGAAGTCCATAATCTGATACATTCTATTAATGAGTTACATAATTACGACTACATAAACTATGAGATAGATGATACTGATATTACAGATTTTTAAAATTTTAAATTAAACGTTAGACTATTTGTAAGTAATAAACATTATCGCATTTTAATTTAGACACGTAATAAAATTAATAAGACAATGAAAAGCGCTCGTTGAATTAAATTGCGCCTACATCCAGAAGTAATAAAACAAAAATTGACACTCGCCTTACTATTTTCACTTTGTGCTAATACTTACCACACTCAGATTAGTATATTTTCTATAATCTCTTTTCTTCCAGTGTCAAGTACTGGATAATTAACTTTCATTATTGGCGTGATTGCTCAAGCTTTCTTACACGCTAAGCCAGATTTCTAGGTGGGCTTTCTAGGAACTTATCCAATACCCGCCACAAGAAATGCATGTACAAAATGAAGTTACAGTGGCCCTACGTAAATAAATATAACCCTGTTTTGACGTGTTCGAAAAGAACAAGAAAATGTGTAAAAGACTCTTATTGTTGAAATTACTATATACAAAACACAACACTTATTTAACTCATATCAGAAGATTTCTTTGAAGAAGTTGTATGCCATCCAATACAGTTGCAGCAGTTTCAATGTCAAGTTCAACTCGATCTTTCAATGTTTATTTTCGGAAAGACGGTGATTGTATATGATAAGTTATCTGTACTCGTACGCATAATGAAGTATGTTGGCAGATTTTTTTTGATTTTTATTTTCGGCTCCTTGCTACTTTTCGGGCTTAGGACCAGAAAGTGATACAAAAGCTTTTGTCCACTTCTATAATAGTTTTCTGCCTGTTCATAGTTCTACCAGTAAACTGGCATTAAATGAAATGATTTAGGCGATTTTTTTTAGATATATGACATCTGTATAACAATACAAAAAAAATTTTCTGCGTATCTTCCTTTGGAGTTCCTTTGGAATTTGGAATCACACTTCCAGGGTCAACTGCCATGGAGGGATGCCTCTACGGAGGACTTGCAAGAAAAAGTGTCCCTATTTAGATGATTGACACAATAACAAAAACGCCACGTGGCCAGCCTATGAGGAGAAAACTATTGCTGTTTGTATAAATATATAATAAATACAACTAATCCGATAATTATTTCAAGTACTAAACGAACTGCCAGATTCTTTATCGGGCTATAAGAGTAAATAATTCCTAAGCAATTTGGCAGAATATGAGTCGACAGAGCGCCATTTCTTCTAAAATATAATAACTATAAATAAATAAGTAGATTTAATTTAATTTTAGAATAGTCTGAGAGAAAAACATCCGCACTTGTGTATCGCTCCGGGACAATCTTTTCTACCAGTATATTCTAAAATTAAATAAAATGAATGTATTAATAATTATTATATTTAACAAGAGATGGCGGATGCTTACTTCCTGACAAGTTGCTTAATAATTATTTAACCTTATAATCCAATGATAGAGCTAAATGTTTGTTTGGTGCTTGTATGAACATTGGAATAATTTAATTCTAAGTACAGTAGATCCCCCTATAAGACTGATTCCTATAATTACGATTCCTATAAGACGGCGAAAAAATTGTGGCGGTATCCGTACACAACAGTGAAAAAACTCCTATAATTACGTAAAACGTCATCGGGCAGCCGAATTATTTTCCCGCCGTCCAGCGCCACGCTACGGACAGTTTAGGCGGGGTAAATTGAGTTTAGTTTCGTCTGTACATATAATTATATATAAATTATATATAAATTAGGTACTGTATATATAATTATATATTAACATAATTTATTGTAACTTTATTATAATTATATATATGCTTTCCGCTGCCTGGCAACACGCTACGGAGATTTTAGGCTAGTAAGTTGAGTTTATTATCGTCTGTACAGTATGTAAATTAGGTACCGTAAGTCTAATACAGCAGTAATTTTATACATTTCTTGTGAAAGAAACATTTCTTATTCAACGGCGATTAAAATTATTTATATTAATGATGTCTCCAAAGTTCAGCGAAGTTTTCGCAGAAAATAACATCAGAAATCGCGGTCGCGGTTTGCTGAGCTGTTCCGCGACGAAAACAAGCTTGAGCAACGGCGATGTCGAACGGTGCACACTCGGTAAGTAATCCTACAATTTTTTGTTTATAGCCTAGTTTATACGGATTATTTCCAAAAAATATATACGTATTTTGGAAATGTTGAGTCGGATTAGTCTAGAATCGATTAATTTTATGGAAGAAAACCTTTCAAACAGCCGTAGTCCGTAAACTTTACACTTGTCGGGCTGTGATTGGCTGTGATTCCTACAAAATCGGATTCATAAAGAACGGAACGTATCTACCGTCTTATAGGGGGATCTACTGTAATCACTTTAAATATCTCGGTTCTCTGATCTCTGCACACAGCAACTTGCGCCATGAGGCTGTCGCACGTGTCAACGCCGCCTGGCTGAAATGGCGCTGAATAACCGGCGTGCTATGCGACCGACTCAAGTCGAAAATTTATCTAAGCGTCGTCCGGCTGTTGTGCTGTTCGGCGCCGAATGCAGGCCAATCAACTATGAAAGTCGTCGACCGCCGCCGGTTTGCTACTATGGAGACTAGGATGCTACGTTGGATGAGTGGCATTACCAGACTCAACCAAGTACCCAACGTTAACATCAGAACCTGGTATGGCGTCGCTGAGATCAGTGAGAATGCGCGCAAGTGTTGCCTCCGCCTCTATGGCCACACGCTGTGCTCTGACGCCGATCTTATCATCTCCATGGGCGTACATTTAGTGGTACCTGGGTCCCATTCCTGTTACTGAGGCTCATAACTACAATTGGCTTCTCCAAAACCTTAACTGCCTCCTCAGGCACAAAAACAAATATGGTGACCTTACCCACCTCTTTGCTATGTACTTCAAATGGACATCTCTACCAGCTTACTCTTAGTGTCATGCCACTGTTTTCATTGTACATTCGTGCTCTATATGTTTGTATACACGCGTTTTGTTTGTATGTACTGATGCACTCCTTTGCATCAGTCTTGTTCATGCTCCACGTTGAAGCACGATTTTGTTCATTCTATTATTTTGTACTATTCTCATTGTAACCCATCAAGTTCTGTTAATTTTATTCTCCTGTACGCGATTCTACCTGGCTATGTTCTACGGCACCAGATGTGTACCATTGGTATGTTATAAATAAAATAAACTGAACTGAACTGAATTGGGTACCGACCGAAGAGCCTCCAGGAGCAGTATTCGCCTGATACGCTGCAACACGACCTGCGACGTGGGCCTACATCCAGTTCAGGACCATGATTGTGTCAAATGGCGATTTAGAATAAAATCCAGGTGTACTGACCGTGTCGTCAAACGGAACTAACGCCGAATAAGAAGAAGAAAAAGAATAAGTAAACAAGTGACATCGTTTATTGGGCTGCAGTTTGAAAAAATTGTAGAGCTATAAATTTCCCCTTTCGTCTGACTGCCTGTTTTACCTTAGTATCGAGAATGGAATTAGACACACGAAAGATTAGACCACCTGTAGAAACCACAGAAGCAGGAGGTCCAGATTAACTATATACGAACTTTCGATGCAAACCGGAAGTCACGTTATTTCAATTAAAATCGTTTCTTCTAAAGGGTGTTAGAAAGATGACCGGCAGAGCTCTATTGTTAAACGTAAGATATGATGTACAGGGGCAAGCCACTACTAATTTGAGGTGGAAAGCATATATTTAAGTTAAATAAATTAAAAAATAAGACTAAAAATTGCAGTCTGGCATCTTGTAAGACTCATAAATTCATTGTGAAATAAGCATATTATTTTTATACCACTATTCTATCGTAGAAATTAACAAAAGCACGAAAATATATTATATTTTATTATAGAAAATTATTGAAATATTGATAAACACCTTTACAAACATTTTTAAATTGCTCTTTACAATTTATACTCCTGTTAGAAATGGCAAGTCATCTACAACACAATACACACGCACATACATGTGTTAAATTTAATTTTATAACAAGTAATACATCACAGTGAAGCCTCGTTTAACGAACAATTCGCATAACGAGCAAAACAAATTGTAAAAAATGACTTGGATAGCGAACGACGAGGAAAAGGAAAGTCCCAGATTGTGCCCATGCTCCATTAGTCTGTGTTTAGCACTCGTTCTACTAGCATCTTAAGTGTCCCTTGTGATCACACATTTTTTCCAAACTTGTGTACATACATATTACGAATAAACATCAACAACCATAGCCCGTTATATAATCAACACGCCACACCATATGCCAAATTTTTGGGCTATATGCAGGCATATACAGGCTATAATTATATATTAGAAATTAATTGACTATAGTTAGGCAGTTATGCTGCCATCTCGTATTACAGTAAATTTAATCACCAATTTCAAATTAAATTTCGATATTTAATTTAAGAAACGTAATTTAACCAATCAATAGATTGGCTAGCTGAACTCAGTCCTATATATTGTGCCACTTCTGTGACAAAATCCTGAGATGTATTAAATCAAATTTAAATGGCATATAATGCGCATTGGTTTGGTATTTACTTTATATACCTGAAAAGAACGAGAATTATGTATTTTTCGTATCAATAATTATATAGAAAATAGTACTGTATTTACTTGACCGTAGCATTTGTAAATTTATTTCTTCTCTTCTTTATCCAATAGATATGCAATAAAATCGAAACAGTAATGATCACTATTAGAAGAACAGCAGAAGACACACCAAATACGATTTTAATCCTCGTTTCTTTATGAACAGAATCTGTCATAGAGTAAAGAATTTTTATTAGACAAAATTCACAAATATCAGTTATCATTTTCTTATTGATTAATAACTTTAAGTACATATTAATTCGTAATCATTTTCAGCAATAACTTTCTTTTGCACAAAATCCTTGCACAAAAGTTTGTGATTTATATTTGATGCATCACCATACAAAAGCTTGAACTTTAAATAAAATGGAGTTTACTAGGTTTAACGTAACGTAAAAGTAATGTATAATACTATGATGTCTATTTTTATGTTTTTCATGTTTGTGTACATGAATTTGTTAACTTAAATGGAGATGACAATCACATCCCACACGGCAATGAAAATTTAAAAAATACAATACATCTGACATAGAAGTAAATAACCAATTCATTGTTGTAAATGCCTTAAGCAATCATAAACATTGTGCGCCATATTAAGTAAAGACAGTGCTGTAGTAGCTGAACGGCAAAACCACTCAAGACGTTTATGATAAAAGTTCTTCTGAAACCCCCAAACTGATCGGTGCAGGCATGATTAGATTTCACAATTAAAGGCAATGTTGAAGATCAATGTGAGTCGTGGAAGATAAAGAACGTTCTGCGAAATAAGTAATTATATTCTCTCCAATCGTATTGATATATCAGATGGCAACATACTCTTATGTGTAATATAAAAACAAATTACTTGCAACAGTCAGTGGCAGTTGCAAGAGGTTGCATGCTCCGGTATAGGAATTCATTAAGCTACATAAAGGTTTTAATTTTGGACATCTGAGACTTCACTTTAATTATTTTAAATAAATTATTAAATTCATGGTAAAAAGTTACCTGTATGAAATTCCATCGGAATCCTGTAAAGTTTTTTTCTTAATTTCAAAAGAAAACAAAGGATTGATGGAGTAAACTAATTAAACATATGGCCGATATGCCTAGAAGAAGAACTTTCTATTGGAAACTGATTCCTACTTAGTTATTACAGAGTATCATATGTTAGACGAAGAACACGCATAAACAACGTAGCCAGCGTATTGGCAATTTGCAAATCTAAAATAAATGATTAACGTGTCAGCCTATCGCTCTGTGCGACCAGGATCGAATTTACAGCAGTCACTTTCAAGGAAATTTTGAATGCTTATCTCCTATACGTCAGATCTAAAGTGTCATTACCTTGTGAGCCTGGCCCAACCCATAATAACTATCATTGAAATACAATTTCAGTAATAACAAAATAAACATTCCAAAACACAAACTAAAATAACGAAAGTACAGTATAACCATAAAGATTTTCACGCAAGAAATAAACATTTTTTTCTCTAAAACAAACCGTTTAGCTCTAAAATCATAAATAGTACATCATAAAATTTACTTTCGATACTAATATAAAAGAAAAAGTCGATATGTTACACACACAAAAAGTACTTACCAAGGCATATTCCAGTAATGGCAGAACATGTCTCGCCTCTACAATTGCATATATTTTTACAATTTTCTCCCCAATATCCGAATTCACACGGTTCATCACATTGCACACCTACCAATAAATTACTTATTAAATATATTCGTCAGTAACAATGATCGAAATTGTTTCTTCTTACCTCTCCATCCAGGCTTACATTCACATTGTCCATTTAAGTGATCACAATATCTCGAATTATTTACATTACAATTACATAACGGATTACAATCAAAATCCAAAATCTGAAATCAAAACTAAAGATTGTTACTCCACTAATTAAGTTAAATGCTAAGAAATTTTGAAATATAAAAATCTTTTCTTNACACCTGTTATATGATCACACTGAACTGTGCTGTTTCTTCTACAGTTACATGCTCGTGCACAATTTTTTCCATACTTCCAATCCTAGGTTGATATAATAATAGGTTAGTGAAAGCATACACTGTCAACTCAATAACCTCAGTTGTGTTTTGGAATTTTTGCATAAAGCATAAATGAGATTGCTCCTCTGTCATCCTAATATGTTTTAATAGTTACAAATATAATAGAAATTGAATATTAGGTCAGAAATATAGCCTTACCTCGCAAGTATTTTCACAGCTTTTCCCAATATATCCAGGCTCACAGTTGCAAACACCTGTTATATGATCACACTGAACTGTGCTGTTTCTTCTACAGTTACATGCTCGTGCACAATTTTTTCCATACTTCCAATCCTAGGTTGATATAATAATAGGTTAGTGAAAGCATACACTGTCAACTCAATAACCTCAGTTGTGTTTTGGAATTTTTGCATAAAGCATAAATGAGATTGCTCCTCTGTCATCCTAATATGTTTTAATAGTTACAAATATAATAGAAATTGAATATTAGGTCAGAAATATAGCCTTACCTCGCAAGTATTTTCACAGCTTTTCCCAATATATCCAGGCTCACAGTTGCAAACACCTGTTATATGATCACACTGAACTGTGCTGTTTCTTCTACAGTTACATGCTTGTGCACAATTTTTCCCGTACTTCCAATCCTAGAGAAATGCATTATTGTATAAATTTGTGTGTAAATATTCACATTGTAAAGTGATGAATCATGTTCGTGTATTCGTACAGAATTTATGATTAGGACTGTAAACATGAATACTGTATGTATATATAAATACTAGCTGCAACGACCCGCTTCGCTGGGTTTTTATTTGTTCGTACATTTGTATGTAATATAGTTTTTGTTTTTTATATAGGGGAGGCCGGGGCAACTTCGGCATGCGGGGCAAGTTTGTCAAGCGCTTTTTTTTAAAAACAAATTAAAAGGAGACTTTGGTTATAGGTTAGGCAGTTGAGTTTTATTGGTGGCTTGTTGAGTGTAGTGTTTTTATTGTTCTCCAACAAGCGTAGTTGAATTATCAAGCAAATTTTCATTTTCGTT